TCCAGTAGTAGCTGGGGTTTAACATGACTTTTTGTCAGATCCCTGCTTCTGGTTGTTTTCAGGGGTGTCGATAAGACAATTTGCGCTGAAGGTTTATCCAGCGAAAGCACCACACAAAAATCAAACTGAGCAACCCTACCGCTCACCTCTTTTAAATACGATCCTCAAGCAAGGTGTGCAGCATCAAGTTTTATGAGAGTCTGTTTCTTTAATACAATCTGTTTCTTTGATACAACACTTTTACCTTTAAATTCCTCGGTTTCTTTTTACTCGTGCCTTATCAAGTATAGAAGCCATCATATGGCGTCTCGAAAACACCGTAGACGAAAAACAGCATTCTTTCCATGCAGAAGACCATGTGATATGTCTGTTCTTCTGGCTGTAATTGTCGTAAACCTCACTTTTTACTTTATAGCTGGTCATAAAGCAAATGGTGATCTGGGCGCTGGTCCAACACACGTAGTCGTTAGTGGTTCGAGAGATAAAATGATAAAGGTAAACTTTACTAGCAGTCTTCTGGACTCAAGCCCGCTGACTGGTTAAACGATGACAATGTTCAGATTTGGGATGCGTTGACGGGTACGGTGATGTTCTCGTTGATTGGACACGACAACTGGGTACGAGGTCTACGTTTCCATCCTCGTGGCAAATTCCTTGTCTCGGTAGCGGATGACAAAACGTTGCGAGTATGGGATATAGCGCAACGGCGCTGTGCAAAGACAATTGATGCCCATCAACACTTTGTTACTAGTGTTGGTAAGTAGTAATTTGTAGCTTGGTTCAGCCTTTTGTGTTGGTTCTTACTTTGTAATGATCTGATTCCTTGATTTTCTTGTTGGATTAAAAACTGCGCTGTCCGCTTCCACTGTACTGTGCTCCATATAGAAGCGTGATCTGTTACTCTGATTGCCAGGCACATTGTATTTAGGGAATCACCGCCCGAGGGGGTCGTATTTGTTCGCTGGAGGAAGGGTGATGCTTTTGAGAAAATGTTTTTGTTGTTCACTTCTCAGTTTCCCCTTTCAGCTATACCCGCGCCCCTTTCCGCGTGACGCACTTGAAAAAAGTGGAGAATTTTCGGAGAGAAACTCTCTGGAAGTAATAGGAAGTTGGGAGCCTTTTGAAAGGTGGGAAGTGGAACGAGAGGTGTGGAAGGACGTGGTACCAGAAGAGGCAATTTTAAGGGGAGTCGTCTTTTGCCAGATTTTTTTCCCAACGGCAAGACGTGCCGTATACCTAAGAGGGGATGAATAGTGTAATAGAAGTTTCTGCTGTATTCCATTAGACGTCTCCATTTATATCAACAATGTTTTCCTCTTCTTAAGAGGATTTCCTCGTTTTAAGAGGACAATGACCAAATTGTTTTCAACTTTCACCGCTAGAACAATTATGCTGAACGGAACACGCGAATTAGGGCTCCTTTCAAACCCAGCGTGCTAAGTAACTTCTCCATTCTTTCTTTGGAAAATCGATCACAAAGCTTTGTGGCGTCAGTCCCGGTTATGTGCCTGCACGAGTTTTACAATTTGTTTTCCGCCACACTTGGTTTTAGTTGGGGACCACTGACTTGTACATCGGCTGGCCCTGACACTGCATTCATAATCCTTTAAGATTCCGAATGGAATTAGATTGCGTGCCGCATCCCGAAAAGGAAGTGATCAACGGCAAAATCTTTCCCTTTTTTATCCTTTAACTCGGTAGATTATACTAAACATAGGTTTCCATTGTTGTCTGGTGGAAATGCCCCAATATCCCTTTGTCCTGATTTCGTAGTTCTACGTTCCCAGCTCTTCTCTTTTTCTCAATGGGGTGATGAAAGTGCCGTGCTAATCGTGTTCCGGACATTATGATGAAACCCGTTTTTGATACGGGAATTAGGTAAGCTGTCGTCCCGATAGCACAAGGTCGTAGTCTACGTTGCATGCACTTTGTTGCAGTTTTGATTCATGCTAGGGACCTAGAATTTCAAAATGTAAAATTAGCGGGGAAAATAGCGGAACGTGAGCGAGATCTGGTGCAAAGCGTAGGACTAGTGCTCTGATGAACCACGGCTTAACCTATTACATAAGTGTAGGGGTTCACAGCTTAGAAGTCCGTGGAACGCTTGATACTATTATAATATAGTAATATGATAGTTTTTTGGGACAACCACCGTTTTTGGCTCGATATCTTTGAGAT